TGGATTTCTTGCAGTTGATAACTGGGGACATCCAGCTTTAGGAGTTCAATCTGAACACTGCAGGAGTCACCAAGTCTCGTGTTCAGGGTAATGTCAGTAAGTACCTGAAGGTTATTTTGTAAAGTTGAACTGGGATCAGGTTTTGGATCTTTAGGCTTGGTTTCATCTGAGGTTGTGACTCAGGCCCACCCCTTTGAATTCTATGTGCAAGCTTGGGAATTTGTGGATTTGTTAAGTAGTATCCCTGCACACACAAATGGGTGGCAATTGAAAACGATCACCACAGTGTGTCACCACAGCCAGCAAACATCCCAACCAGCTTCACTGGAGCATTCCTCTGCAACTCAGATCACTTCATTTTTCCTTTGGCCATTGATCCTTTACAGCACCTGCAGCTTTTTGTTTTTTCTCCAAAGATCATCATTTTCCTTTGAAGTTTAGTGACTGTGGTATGTCTAACCCCATCCTGTAGGGGCAAGGAACTGAATAATTACGTCAGGAGTGTCATATTAAAGGTGATCCAAAGACATTTATGTTGCTCATTAAAGCCATTGGGAATTTGGCTGGGCCAGAGCTCCCTGCTTTGGTCATGCAATGGGGGGGAAAGTGCTCCAAAAATAGTTATTTTATAATTATTTGTACTGTGGTACCACAAAAGGATTTGATTAGCACCCTTATGTGTTTAAAACTTGAAGAACAGATGCCACAAAGCGGCACTCCCACCATCCCCCTGTGTTGGTCCTTCAAAGTCTTGATTAACTCCCAGTTTTCAAAGGGAAGTAAGGTAGCAGAGGGGAAAAAAGAAGCAGAAAAGATAATAAAGTTTGCCTTCAAGGTCAAAATTCTTAAAGTTGAAGTTAAAATTATGTTCAAATTAGAAATATAGTTAGGATAAAGTTTTCAACACTAAGTTACACTCCTCACCTTGCAGTAGCAAGGAGTAAAATCCTGGGGCCTCTGAAGTCATCAGATTTTTGATACTGGATGAGGACTACGATTTTAATTTTTATTTTTTGTACTCTGAAAAGTTGGATCTTATGGCACACTACCAAACAGAGCAAATGTCCTGACTCCAGACTGCACCGTAGCAAACAGACAGGAACAGGCACATGGACATTCTCACCTGGAGTAACAAATCTGCTGGGTTGGGCAGGAAGGAGGAGAAGACACTCAAATCCACTGGCTCAAACCTTTGACTGGCACTGGATTATGAGAGTCAAAATAGAGAGAAACTCTTCATTTCTGTGCTTCCTTTTGCCTTTGAACAAAAGGGTTTGCATTTACCTTTAGGGCTAAGCAGTCTGAATTTGTCTCAAAGTGTGGTAAAATGTCAAGCTTCAGCTCTTCAAACGCATTTCCCAAACAGACTGGGAATTAGTTGCTGGCACATTGTTCTGTGTGGCTGTTCTCAGAATTGGGGTGGTTCTCCTTTAAACAACCATTCAGCAGCCTGGAGATCCAGGCAGTTGTGTATCAATTAGCAGGCTGCATTGCTTAGTGGGAGCTGCCTGCAAATGCAAAGGGACAAATGTGGGCATCGAGGTTTCTACCATCATTTTGCTTTCCTGCCTCTAACTACAAATCGGCTTCATCGTGACTTACAGTGTAAGAAGTTGGTGCATTTCTGCAGATCCATGATAAGATATTTTTCTCTAGTAAGAAATGCAGTTAGACTCTGCATTTGGAATCTGTTCCTGCCAGGCCCTAGATGCATTAGTATTCCACTGGCAGCTGCCTGTAGGTAGGAATATTGTTTTTGTCCATAACCAGAGGGAACAATCAGACTAAGCCGTTCCCCAGCTATAAACCAGCCAAAGTAATTGGGTTTAATTTTAATTTTTGTAATAGCTTTAAATTAATAGGAGCAGCTGCTGCCACAGTGTGTGGGTGTCCTTTTCCAGAAGGCATAGAACAAAAAAGGGAAAGAGTAAACAATAGTGCGTCTAGGACACAAAGGTTAATTCAAGAACTGAGCAATGTCTTTTCGTTATCAAAAACTCAGTTGGTGATATCTAGCACTGTGTCTCTTTTCTTTCTTTTCCTTCCCCTTTTTTCTTTTCTGCTTTAATTCCCTGATAAGATCTCAATCTGATTAGACTCCTGTGTGTAAAGATGTGTTGTTGGTATCTAAACGCTAACTCTCTTTCTCTGTATGACTCACAAATAGATTAGCAGTGACAAAGTGCTAGGAGAGATAAAAATAGATTAGCAGTGACAGGAGTACTATTATAATTATTTTTGGAAGATATGGTTTGAATTAAGAGTTTGGGCACTTTTTGCCCTGAGAGGGTGAATTTAAACCTGGGAACTGAGGATGGTTTCTGCTGTTGTGTCAGACACCAGATAGTGAAATGTCAATACCAGATGTCCTAGACATCAAGATTAGCCATAATAGCCAAATGCAGCCATAAAGTGATGTGTCAAAGTGGATAATAAAACAGATGCTTAGCGTTTATAATGAAGGGGAAAGGGAATGAAATATAAAAAGTGCCTTTAATACATTAACAAAGTTGTCTTCAACTTGCTTAAAAGTAGGAAGTTATTGAACCAAGGAGAACTATGTGTCATTTAAACATTAACTATCAGCAGATGAATTTCAATTAGCATTAGCCTTTCTAAAATCCTGAATTTCCTCCTATTGGTCTCATTTGACATGAAATTTTTATAGCATAAAGTGAGGCTTGTCCTTTATTATTTCTCCCATGCTAATGTGGAAACAAATAAAGTTCAACAACTCAGCAACATACTGTTTAAACTTGCATTATGGTTTGAGGACTGGGAGCTAGAATACATTTACCCACTGCCATATCATCTGCTTGATTTGAGATCAAATGAGGGATGTCCTATAGCACTCCAGAGTAAGGGTGAATGATAGAAATATGTTAAGATACTGGAGAAACCTATTAGGTTTGGGTTCTGCATGCAGATGGCTGGTGGTGTTTTTTCCCTACTGATACTTCTTAAAAAAAATAAAAGATTTGTTTTTCTGTGCTTTAGATTTGTGGCTTAAATATTATTTTCAGATCTTAGTGATAAGCAAATGTCTTTTTTAAGAAAAAAAAACAATCATCAAATCACAGATTTCAATAGGTTGGAAAAGTCCTTTAATCTCATCAAGTCCAACCGTTAACCCAGCACTGCCAATTCCACCCCTAAACTGTGTTCCCAAGTGCCACATCTGCACATCCTTTAAATATATCCAGACCCTTCACCAGCTCCGTTGCCTTTTTCTGGACCAGCTCCAGCACCTCAATGTCTTCCTTGAAGTGAGGAGCCCAACACTGAACATGTGGTCTGAGATGTGGCCTCCCCAGTGCTGAGCACGGGGGGACGATCGCTGCCCTGGCCCTGCTGGCCACACTATTGCTGGGACAAGCCAGGATGTCATTGGCCTTCTTGGCCACCTGGGCACACTGCTGGCTCATGTTCAGTCATGATGCTGAAGTAAATTATTGAAGCCCTGAGTGTTCAAGAGGCAGGGCATTAAAAGGGGCAAATAAATTCTTATTTCGAGTCTAATTAACTGCATCGCTGGTTCTTTATTGTACTTTGTCAGGAAGATCTCAATTCCTCTCCGTTTCCCTTTGTAGATCCTGAGTCTTGCTGATCAGAGCCCTTAACTGCTGCTAATTGGCAAGCATGTACTTCTATATAATGAGAGGGTTTTGTCCTCTAATTCATATTAACAATGAGAGGCCAAAACTGATGTTCTGCAGCAGACCAGCTTCTCGGAACTATTACAAAGCAGCACATTACTCGTGCTATGTCTGTAAATCTTGTTATGTTTTCCCCTCACCATGATCCGAGCTGAGCTGAGATCTGCTCCAATCATCAGATGAGACCTGTTTATAATGTTGTGTAATTGAATCAGATAGAGTCTGCAGGATCATAGTTTTTTGTTGGCAAACATGACTGGTAAGTTAGTTACATCAAATTACAAGTGCATGGCTTGATTGGAGACTATCCTGTCTAAATAAAGTTAGAAACTCCATCTAAGAAATGAAGAAAGCATAAAAACAGAAATAGTGAATGTCTTTCATCCATAGAACAAGTTTTTGTTCCCCCTCTGAAATATTACTAATTTCTGCTGAAAAATAACAGAATAATTGGAGTTGGGTGAGAGATGGCAGGCAGATATTTGTTATTCCTTAAACAGATACCATCTTGATAACAATGACATAAATGTCTTTATTATCATTATTTACCATCATGTATATTCATTTCTATCTTGTCAGATAAACCAGAACTGTCCAGTTTGGAATGGGACCAAATACCCTTTTCTTCTTTGCTTTCTAATTTAGGGCTCAGTTATTTTCCATGCCTGAAGTTTTTTGTTTGAGTTTTTTTGTTGTTGTTGTTTGATTGGTTGGTTTGGATTTTTTAACCTCAAGAGTTTATCTTTTCTTCCATTCATTGCATAGGTGTTGATATGTATGCCCTGACTGTTAAGTACAAAAAAAAGTCATAAATATGCCCTGAATTTCAGTAATTCAGTTCTGTCAATGGTGCCTTTTACTGACATTCCTTCATTAGTTATGCCTCCTCTCTGTGCTGGTGAGTCAGCCTTGTAACAAAGGATGTACCACACTCCAGACAGAGGTTTGTCTGGAGCCTGTGTAGTGCTATGAAGTTGCACAAGCTCGATAGCAAAGTAGAGGATGCTTGAACGGCCTGTGCATCCTTTTCACTTTATGGGAGTGGGTTTTCCTGGTTATACGATGCTCTGCCCTGCTGTGGTGACTCTGCCAGCTTGGGCACCTGGAGAGAGCTGCAGTCCCAGCAGCTGTGCCATGCCTGGGCTCTGCCCTGGCAGTTGTCTGCACTGCTCCCAAACACAGGCTCTGGGCCCTGCTCCCCAGCTCCTGAGCTGTTCGAGCCCCTCCACTTCATTTCCTTTAGAAGAAATTTGAACCTCACGTAGCCTTTTTGTTCAGATTTCTTATGCCAACATATATACGTGTCAAGAAATAAATATACATGCGTGTTTTTGGTTTTTTTAGGCAAAGAATACCCTCTAAAAACGTGTACTACTATCGCTGCCCAGACCACAGGAAGAACTATGTCATGTCCTTTGCTTTCTGCTTTGACCGAGAGGACGACACTTACCAGTTTGCTTACTGCTACCCCTACACCTACACTCGCCTCCAGCACTACCTTGACACCCTCCAGAGGAGGAACATGGACTATTTCTGCAGGGAATTGCTGGGACTCAGCGTGGTAAGTACCAGCCCCGCTCGCCAGCCAGCAGGCTTCGTTATGAATGTCTGCCCTTAAATGCCTACAGAATGTAATTCATCACCCCTGCTCAGACACTCACACGCATGTATTTGTTTTGCTGCTATCAATGACACAGGAGGAAGTGTACCTGCTCGGTGAAATATAGACAAATGCTAATTTAATTTCACATAAAGTATTTCCTTTGTGATGTGCGAGGCCATGCTAAATTCCCACGTAGGATCAAGTCACCTCTAAAGACATTAAAAGATGAAACCGAAACAGCTCTATTGAGGAAATGTGATTTTTAGAGTACTCTGACCATTTGTCTTTCTGGAAGAGGTTTTTCTGTTCAGAAAGAAATGGGTTTTTTAAACCAGAAGATAACTTTTCTTGATAAAATAATGCAAAACATACACAAACCACCTATTTTATTTACTCTTAAAAATGCCTGCTTTGGTGATGTGATATTAGAAGGGGGTTTTAGTGGTGTCTGTGTAGATCCTAGTGGCCACACAAAAATTGAGTGTCGTAGTTCTTCTGGGGCAGGAAGAAGGGTTGATGGTAAGGCTGAACTTCTGTTCACTTTGCTATAATCTTTCTCTGAAATGTTGGCTGTCCAGAGGATTTGGCAAGCATGACTCAGCCACTCCCATGTCAACCCAGAAATCATCAGATTAAAAAAATAATAGCTCAAATCTTGTTGGGTTTTCTAAACTTCTGCTTTCTCAGACTTTATAGTGCACTTGTACCACATTCTTAATCTTTTCTCTGAGGTTTGATTTGGTCTAAACTTTCAGTGTGTGCTTCAGAAACAGAAAGCTGTGGTTCCTGTGAAGGCTGCTGATCCCAGCAGCAGTTTCTTCTTAAGAAGAAACCCAGCATAGATTGTGAAAATCAAAATGAAATCATATGTATACCCTGCACTGAAATAAATAAAAGGCTTCCAGCATTAAAGCTGGCCATTGAGATCCCTATGGTGGCATAAAACTTGGAGGAAAAAATTAACTTACAGAAAAGAGTGAAAACAGAATTAACAAAAGAAGATTTTTTTTAACCCTTTTTATAGTTAAAGTACAGTTCTTGTTCTAAAGGTGACTATTGCATATCCATGAACTGGCATTAATAATTAATCATTCCAATTAGGGGAACAAACAATTATAAGGGAAAGGGGTATTAAAAAAATAAAAAAGTAAAATCTGCAGAGGCTGGGAGGAAAGAGCACTATCATCTTAATGTGTAGAGTTTTAATTATTAATCTTAGAGGACAGAGCTGTCATTAATTCTATAGTGAAACTGAATTTGTTTCCTTTCACTCTGAAAAGAGTGTATAAACAGTCAAATTTGCATATTCATCAACGCCCTGATCTGACTGATTAAAACACTGAGATAGAAGGATTTGTCTGTTATCTGCATTTTGACAGCCAGAGCTATACTCTTAAATCTTGTCAGCGTTGTGTTTCCAGTAGTCACGAAATATTATTTTTCATATTTCAACAAACCAAACAAACAGATGCCACTCAAAATATGGCAGGAAATGTGCTGTGTATAAGCCCTGATTTTATATCTACATGTACACACAGAGTATGTTTTGCAGAAATCGATATGGTAACATTTTACAGCTCACCATGCCTGATCTGTATGGAAAGCTTCTGAATCAGGCTCAGGCTGGAATCTTTGTGAGTAACGTTACAATCTCAGAGCATTTCTGGCTTTTCTCCACACACAACTGTCCTAGAACAGCTTGGTAATTTAATGTCTTTGCTGAGCTTGAATAGACAATTTCCATAAGTTCTCCTCGAGTTAAATATTTTAACATAGAGCTTTGTTGCTATCATACATCTTTAAATGGTGAAAAACAGGATCCTTCATTCTTCACTGCACAGTGCTCCATAAAAGCAGAAGCTGGCTGTACTTTGGAGAATTGCGTGCCATATAGGATAGATTTAGAGCTCAGAAAGTGAGCTCTGTCCCTGCTCTGGCCCCTTATGTAAGATAAGAGGAATCAGATTGGCATAAAGAGGCCCTCAGAAGCTCTATTCCTGGCCAAGGGACCGTACCCCTGGCAGCACATGGTGAGAGGGAGTTTAAAGATGCCGTCTGAGGACAAACTCTGGAGTCCTCCTGCTGGGCAGGGCTGGAGCAGGATAACATGTAAGGGGAAAGCTGCAGCACATCTGCTGAGCTACCATGGAGCCGCCCACACCCTCGGGGTCATTCCGGGGGAATTTTACAGCCCCCTGCTGCAGGTGGTGATTGTGAGGGTGGAGAACAGTTTGAAACAGTTTCACATCTCCTGGGTTGTGAGGTGTTGAACTGGGTCTCTTGGAGACAACAGAATCTCACCACAGATCTTTGGTTTTTCTTTTTATTTTTCTTTGTCGTGGAACAGTAAAACACAAGTCACAAGAAACTATGGTTAGATTACTCCTGAAGGCTTTCTGAGTGCACATTTTGCTGCATGTAGTGTTTTCAAGGCAGTCTGATTTCTAATCTAATTTCATATTTTCTCTGAAGAAAGTACTATGCCTCCATTAACTCCTTCAACACTTGCAGTAATTCTATGAAAATTGAAAGTCAAATATCAGTGTGGGACACGTAATTGGCATTAGAATGCAGAGTGGCAAAGTGGTTCAGAGCCAAATGGCAAAGATTCCCATTGCCAGTTTCAATGGATAGCTGTTTTATTTCCGACCTATTAATGTTTATATTCTTTACTTTAGAGAGCTATCCCACATTCTAGGTGTGCCAAATGGTCTTGAAAATAGTCTCTCCTGCAAGAGAGCTAGGATGGTCACCCAGGTACCATTTAAACTGCTATTTTCATTCTGCCATCGTTGGCCTGAGATAACTTCACACTTTCTATGGTTTGTCCAAACAGACCAGAAGTTCAAAATCTGTGAGCATTTTTTTTAAATTGTGAAATCAGTTTTTTGCATATTATTGATCTGTCTCTCATCTCAGCAAATATTATGCAATATTTTACAGCATGACATAACAATAATTTTTATATCTGTGTGAAAATATAAGCACAGGATCAGTTTACTTTAACTGTACCTATTTTATGATACCTACACAGTCTGATGTGCAATAACAGTTATGTGTGTAGCATTATAACCAATATTTCAGAGTTGGCAAAATTTTTGAGTGTGTTGTCATTTGAAGCTGGTTGTCCAAAGTACCTGTGTGGACTTGAAGTGTGTGGACAATTGGTGAGACCTCTACTAGTATTCCACTATCACACATAATACATCAAAGGAGTTTTGGATAGCCTGGTTCAACTCCTGCAGCCCACTTCTCAAATCATCACTGGCTGGGCAATACTTTCATTTCTCACTCAAAAGAGAGCCAAGATTAATTGGAGACAGATATTTCCTTTCACCCCATTAGGCAATGGTGCTTCCAAATTGCACTTGAGGAGAATTGCAACTGCACATACAAACCACGAGCCTCAAAGGGACTTGCACAGTACACTGAGACTGAAATATGGAATTCTGTTAAATTAAATATTAAACATACATATTTTAAAACAAGAAGGCAATATGTCTAATGTAGAGCTCTGAAAGGGAGCCAATCTCTTAAGTCAGATATGGAATACTGAGTGGCACAGATTGGAACACTTGGTGCTTCGTTCTGACTCCACACCACTTTGGTGGCTGCTTCTAATTTACTTAAGCTCCTCCTGATTTATGGGGGTATCAGAGAGAGCAGGGTGGGGCCCTAAGATGTGAAAGTGCACACCAGCTGTCACACTGCTGCCTCATTGATCCTACAGCCCTTATTTACCGTCCAAATGACTCGGTACCCCGGAAAAAATAGTTGATCAGTTCTGTTTGCTACTGGTCCATTTTTAACTACTCAGTTATGACCACTTCAAAGCGTGAAGCAAAGAAAACAGGCAGTTTTTCGAAGGTTAAATTTCCCATTTCTGCATTCAACTTTAGGTTATATAATAACAATTCTGTAAGAGAAAAGTATACTCTTGGTCTTTGAGAAAAAAAAAAAAAAGAAGTTACAGGCTTCTGTGTGATGTAACATACCTTTGAAACCCTGTTGGGATCAGATACTGTGCTTTCCAATGGGTTTGGCTGCAGCTAGGTCAAAATGTCATGGAAATGCAAGCTGTGGCAATTTAGTTGGCCAGAAAAAGGCCACAGAAAAAGTAAAGCCACTTTCTCGTTTCTCAGCAGTGTAAAAGTGCAGCTACACATATGTTCAGGGCACATTCTCTTTAGTCAGTGGTGTATCTATTTACTGCTATAGTACTGCTGTTCCCACATCATTCATAATATGGATATCATCCCAAAACTGTATGTGAGATTTAAATGTTCCTACAGCTATTTTCTTAGCTGGGTTGATATCAGCAGAAGTAGAGTTGGATCTAAAAATAACACCACCAGCAGTTCTTTCCAAAATAAAATATGATTTATAGCATGTAATAGCACAGTGTGCTACCAGGGAAATTATATAAATAACATGAAAAATAACAGGGGACTATTCTATACCATCACTTTTAAGGGAAATTTCTTTGTCACAATTTAAAGGGAGTTCTGTGAGATAAACTGGCTTGTGGGAATCATAGACAAGGAAAGATAGGCGAAATTATGTTACTGCTGAAAGTTGCCATCTGTCTGTAGGATATATACAACTGTTCATGGTAAAAACAAGAAATACTTTGGTGTAAGTTGGCAGCAATATATAGTTTTTGAAAAAAACAAACTCAATAAAATCATCATTTACAGTTAATATCATGCAAGGTTACTAAATGTTTGAGCTGGTTATTTCTTAAATTCCAGCAAGAGCACTGATTGATATAGTAAAATAATTTCTTGAAGGATTTGCATAAATTGCTCTTTATCTAAGTATGAGTAAAAAATCTTAAATTGGGAAGAAGGATTCAAGTCTTAAGTCCATTTTGCAACTCAGGTTTTATAACTACCGTTCTCCATTTAAAAAACTGTTGTAAAAAAATGCTTGGAACTTCACCAAAAAAAGCAGCCTTG